GGTAGCCGCCGGGCCAGGGCAGCGGGGCTGGTTTTGTGCCTGTAGCCGCCAGCGAGCACCTCCGTATTGACGGGAGGAGGAACTGAGGAGCTGGGTTGGTGTGTGAAACTAGTGCAAGGTGCCTCTTAAGATTTATTCAGATGTTCAGGATAGTTTATCTTTGACTTTATATTTTCTCTTTTTCGTAATCCGAAATGCTGATGCTAACACAGGTAATATGATGTACTAAAGTATTTATTTATTGATTGGTGTTTCCAGCATCACATTTGCACACTTAGCCTCCTTGCTTTCAGGTGTTTCTTTCACATGCAGTTAAAGACTTTGAAGAAATTAAATTGCATGTTGTTTGATAAAGCCTTTCGGTTTTGTTCTAACATTTTTCACCAAAAAGTAACGTAATTTAAACTAGTGTTACAGTATTTTTAAATTTGTGAGTAGTATTTCTTCTCTGTGCTGCATGAAGGGCTAGAGAAGGAAAGCCTCGTGACCACCTGGCTGCTCCCTGGTGTGAGGCATTCTTATGGTCTGTGGGGAGGGACAAGAAAATCCTTTTTGTTAGGTTGTACAAATGACAAATGGCCTTTGTCAGAAACACAGATGCAACAATCAGATAGAAACATTTACTTCAAAGATACAGAGAGATAATCTTAGTTTCCTAGCTGCAGGGTTCAACAAAATAGGTATTTTGAGAGTAGTTGCGATGTAAGATTTCTTACACCATTTTTTGTGCTCCAGTAGTTTTGTTACAGTATGTACCATGTTCAAGTCATTTGTCTGTCACTGGGGAGGGTTAAGATCTAACTGGTGGAACTGATAAGCTGCGACTATAAGGGCTTTCTGAGATGTTGATGCATGACCTTCGAAGTCTTTGCCATGGTGTTTGGTCCTATCTTCCCTTTAATGTTTTACTTACCTTCAGTAATGTAGAGCACCCTTGATTTCTTTTCAGCCAAAGTTACGAAAAACCCAAGGAGGGAAGCAAGAGAAAAAAGTTATCCATCCGTACAGCAGAAAAGCCGCACAGCTTGCAAGGGAAGCACACAAACAGGAAAAGAAGGAAAAGTAAGTTGACTGTGCAAAATCTGTGTACAGACCGAATGATAGCATCACAGGAGATATTTTTTGGTTGGAGGGAGAAGGGTGGTGGTGGAAGGGGACCGATGTAACCTTAAGATAAAAGAAAGACCTATATAACATAGTACTGCTGATCCATGTGAACTGACAGGTTTACATTTGTGAAATCAGATTATACAAAGTATATAGTTCTTCTACTTGATTTTTAGTATTGTCCTTACAAGTTAGGTTTCTTCTTATCGCAACATTTTGCTTTTTATAATCTGAATGGCATGGTGCTAGTGATTGCGCAGGAAGTTAGTCACCTAGTTTGACTTTACTCCAAGATTTAATAAGAAACCTGCTTAGGGTCTAACTTCTTGTGAAGAAGTGCTGAGTTCATAGAAAAGAAAACCAGAAAACTTCTTGCAGAAGAGAGACTTATGAATACAACTGGATAGTTAACTCCTCTTTGGTGATTTCCTGCTGTTCCATGGCAAGTTTGGTTGCTTTTAAGTTTTACTTCCTCCTTCCACAGAGGGAAAAGATAGGTAGAGGAGACTGGCCTTTAGTTTACATTCTGTCTCGGCTTGCTAGTTGATACACTGTGTGTGTTTGTGTAGAAAGTTATTAAAGTGAACTTAAAGCATTTTCTGTCAAAGTGTAGTAGTATATGGGTGGACCGTGGGAGCTGAGCCCAAATATTGATACATTTGAAGGTGTTAAATTGGGAATTCCTGGTACAGTTGAAATGTTCCTTAGAGACTGTGCAATTTTATGGTTGGGGATGGATGTACAACCTTATCCACAGAAAATTTGTAAGATTGCCCTAACTAGAAAGGGGCTGTTTACTAGCATAGCTGTATCATGTAGCCTTAAGCAGAGCTGGTGCAAGAGTTTACAAGTAGCATGTGTTGAGGATTGGGCAGTTTCCTAATGTGCAAGAAATTTTCCCTGCTGCTTGATGATCTTAAGGGTCTTTTCCTATCTTAATGATTCGGTGACTCTGTGGATGTTTTGTCTGGGCTCTCTGACTACTGATTTTAAGTAAGTTTTTATTGTAGATTATTTTCCTAGTGCTGAATTGACTACTTTGTCCCTTAAACTCTCTCATCTTGCCTTATTGCCACTCAGAGTGGTTAATCAGAAAAGATAACTAAATCATATTTGAGTTTAGTGCTTACATCTGTGACTTTGCCATAAAGAAAAACACACATAAGAAAACTTACTGAGTGGAGTGATGTACTGATGATTTGTTATGACATGATACACCCAATCAAATCTTTTAGTGATTGTCTCTGTGGATAGAATTGTACTGATATAGATATCTTTGCTGACATTTCTTATTAGGGTGTTACTTTTGGTTCCTCTTCTAACAGCAAGAAGTTAAAGCAAAGAATTCCCAAACTCCCACTGGAATAGTATTCTCCCATTTAACTTGCTCTTTAATTACTTTTCTTCATGGATAAGGTGTAATTAGAGATTGCACAGGGCAATCTATTTTGTTACAGGTAAGAGAGTACCAAATGCATCCTTCATTTCTCTGCTTAATGCATTAATATTGCAGTAATTAGATCATCCTTTCCATGAAAAGGAATGAAAAGATGCTGGCTTTGTACTGACTAGGCTTTGTTACTGAGGCAGCTAGATTTGACAAGTCACAGTATGTCAGTAATGTTGCTTAATTCTAACACGGGTGCTTTTTCTGCTAAACAGCTGGGAAGTGCACTGCTTTATGGGTATTCAGAGCAGTGTCGGGTGTCTTGGGCTACCGGAGACACCTTTGCGGCAGTGGACTCTTAGTCCACTGCTGACATTGTCAAGTGAAAAATATGGAATCAAAATTGTTTTAGGAGCCAAAGGCTGCGAAGTAGTTTTGAGCACACAGGGTTCAGTAAACTGGAAATATTACTGACTTTCTAACTGATTCTCTAGACAGGTGTACTCAGGAAGCAATTGTAAGGCACCTTGCCCTTTCTCATATGATGATCTAGATGATCTTGACCCTTAAGTCTGGTTAAAAAAAAAAAAAATTCTAGGTCACCCAGAAATGACAAATGAAAACTAAATTCTTTAATTTATTGAAAGTTTCCTTTCTTTCAGCAGTTCTCACTGAATGTATTAATTTTGAGACCTGCTGGTCTGAGAGCTTGTTCCAGTGCCTTGTCTTTGCTGTGTAGATTTCTGTCTGTGCTTGCCAGAGTAGATTAAGTCTCATAGTTGAGCACGTGACAATACCAGTCTTTTATCTGCATTAGCCCCCATGGTTGTAGTCTTACAGAAGATGCTTCAGTTAATACATTGTGGAATGCAACTCTTGGTACAACCACGCTAATTTTTGATTTTTTTTTTTTAAACCGCACCAGTAATTGCAATACCAAAAATGGATTTGTTGGATTGAAAAACAGTTAATTTCTCAGTGCTAGAGAACCAGGTTACGCAAGGATAAATTGGGGGTATATGTTTAGGGAGTTTACTTCCTATGCCTTGCAAGTTACACCTTGTCTTGACTCGCAGTACATGTAGAACAATTGCTACAGTGTCTTCCTTCTAGCACCTGTTGCCACTGGCTGTTAAAGACAGCTAAATGCTCCTTGCCCTTCATTTAGACTCCAGTAGTTTCCCCTGTGCGCAATGACAGGTTAATCCTCTATGAAAACTTTTTTGGAGGATTTAAGTTTCGTTCAAATGCTTTTGCTAACACCTGTTAAGTCTACCATGTTACTTTAGCCTTTCTTTATAAAGTTATTTGCTTCTTTAAAAGGAATTTTACATAAAATAAACAAACTTATTTATAAATGAGTGTTTTACCTGTTTAAGAGACAGTGGTCTTTATAGCAGTATGGTTAGCGTTCCTGTTCCTTTCCTCTGAAATGTAGCAAAAGGAGCTAGTCATGGCAGCAGAATCCTCCCAAGTGAAACACGCAGACCACCTTTTGGTATGTGTCATGGGTCACCTGAGGAAAAAGTGCCATTTTATGAAAAACGATTAAATATTGGCAGCCAAGCAAACTAATAAAAGGTGAGCTTCAAGCAGCCCAATAAAAGAGCAGATGGTTTATTCTGAATTCCTCTGGGGATCAGTGAAGCCTAATGCTTTCATAGAACAAAAGTGCTTAACAGAAACTCAGTTTAAGATTAGAGAATACAGATAGCTATCCTTTCCCTTAGGCTCTCTTTAGAATGTTGATAGTTACCCTTTTTAGGCCTCAGAGAGCAGAGATGCTCTGCGGAGGGAAACTCAGTTTAAGATTAGAGGATGTGGATTGCTATCCGTTTCTTTAGGGTCTGTTTCTTGACTTCTGCCTTTTCTTTTCCAAGCTCACTTACTATTTCAAGTGCGAGGCCTCTAGGCTGATGCTCAAAGATGTAACCATTCATTTTGCATAGGAAAACTGTTCCACCAAAAGCAATGTGTTAGTCTGGACCATCCAAAGCGTATTGTGATAGCAAAATTATCTATCTATAAATAAGATTTACCCATCTTGCAGTTCTGGGACCTAAAAAATTAACTGGTGTTGTTCATAGATCTGCACTTTGTAGAGCTCTTTCGTTTTGGTGTTCTAAAAATAATTTGCATTTAAAAACATCCTTCAGTTGTCTGCATTCTATTTTCTGTACTGTCTTGGCTTGAAGAGCAATTTAACTCGAAAGACTTGAATAACACTGATTTCTTTTCTTCCCTAGTGTCTTTAAAAGTCTTGTTAAGTGTTCCAGTTTCTTTTGGGTCTCTATTATCTTAATGATCAGCTTGTTAAATCTTAAGATCTTTTTTTTTTTTTAGTATTGGGACTTAAGCATGTGTTTAAAAGCAGTCCGTTTAGCCACTAACCAGTCTTTATTAGTGTAATTACTTAGTTTTGAGTTTCTTTAATACAATGGTGGAGTTTGGGTTCATTTTGCAGAGCTCTGAAAAAGACAAGATAAATTTCTGGTGCTGTGGATGGAGGAAAGCTTTCCACTCCTATGCTGAGGAAAACGTAGCCTGCACCAATTTTGTTTTGTCTCATTGCTTTTGCAGGTCTATTAAATGTCTTCCCCTCGCTTCCTCCAGTGGCAGCTGATAATACCAAATAAATGCTCTGGTATTGTTGCTCCCAAATTTGTGACTTAACTGTAATAAGTTCACTAAAGACTTTTTCACTGGAAAATGACTTACTGAAGTTGAAATATTTGCAGAATTTACTTCTATTTAATGACAACCCTGTTCTCTGGTTGGAAGGTTAATATGTCCTTTGGTGGTAAATAGGAGAAGCTGCCTTGTAATGTCTACAGTATTTTTTTCCTTAATCCCATCTACAAATCTGGTACTTTTTTGACTATGTTTCTTATCTTATAGAAATAAGTCATCTTAAATGTAGGGAGGGCCCAAAACTGGAGTGAGTATTTTCAATATGATCTCACCAGCCCTGAGTAAAGGGGATCATTTCTCAGTACAGGCTAATGCACTTCTGCAGCATGGAAAAACTGGATCAGAGACAGTCAATGAATCTAGGAAGTTCATACAGTTAATCTGTATTATTTTAATTAAGCTGTGGATTTACTTGCCAGAAGATGCTATAATTGTGGTTGGCTAAATTTGTGCAATAATACCTTTTGAACATACGTACATTTTACCTGTTGGTTACTATTCAATACAAAGGTATTACCTTGGTTGTAGGAAGCCCTTGAACAGCATGTTACTGGAAGGTGAGAATGTCTTTTAGAGGAGTAACAGTAAATGTTTGCTTTTGTTTTACGTGGTTTGTTTCTTTTGGGTTTGGTTTTTTTTTCCTTTAGTCCCTGCCTGGAGACAGGATTCAGAGACAGTTTAGACTTCTATTTACTTTTTGACTTTTCTGTATGCCACTCTACTCCGCTCTGGTGAGACCCCACCTGCAGTACTGCGTCCAGCTCTGGAGCCCTCAGCACAGGAAAGACATGGACCTGTTGGAGAGGATCCAGAGGAGGGCCACAAAAATGATCAGAGGGGTGGAACACCTCTCCTGTGAGGACAGACTGAGAGAGTTGGGATGGTTCAGCCTGGAGAAGAGAAGGCTCTGGGGAGACCTTATTGCAGCCTTCCAGTGCTTAAAGGGGGCTTATAAGAAAGATGGGGACAGACTTTTTAGTAGGGCCTGTAGCAAAAGGACAAGGAATAATGGCTTTAAACTAAAAGAGGGCAGATTTCGACTAGATACAAGTAAGAAATTTTTCCCAGTGAGGGTAGTGAAACAGTGGCACAGGTTGCCCAGAGAGGTGGTAGATGCCCCATCCCTGGGGAACATTCAAGGTCAGGTTGGATGAGGCTCTCAGCAACCTGATCTGGTTGAAGATGCCCGTGCTCACTGCAGGGGTCCTGCTGATTGCAGGGGGGTTGGACTAGATGATCTTTAAAGGTCCCTCCCAACCCAAAGATTCTATGATGAAGGAAGAGAAGTAACTACTGTGAACATTCCTGTTCATGTTAAACAGGAAAGGAAATTACATGTAGTTATGAGATGCAAGTTCAAGTATCTTTTGCCCAAACAAGGTAATAAAAAAGGGAAGACATTACCCACAGGAATTTCAATACTTAATGCAGCACTGGGAAGAAGTAGGGAGAAATTCTGCTCTAAATTGCAGAAGTCTTTTACAGCCTCCATTGTCCAGATACTCTTCAATGCAAGCATTCTCAATGAAATGTGACGGTAATAATAAGCTTATTGTCCAGAAACTGTAGCTGCACTACAAAAGACCAATCTTGATCATAATAAGAGGAGACAGACCAGTTGGTTTTAGAAAATTGTCTACAATTGTAAGTCAATTTGTTCACTTGAATTGCACCTTTTTCTTGCCTGCATCCCTGTTCTCAGTTCTCCTCAAGGTCTAATAAGCAGCAACAAATCCCAGTGTATTACTACCAATTTATTCTCTCTTAATCTACATGTGAATCCTTATTCCTTGTAGGCAACTTGTTTGCTCTGTTAAATAATTATAAAGATGTTAGAGACGGCAATAGCTGGTTCACTGGCGCCAGTAGAACACTGCTTTTTCTACACTTCAGGAAACCAGACCATAATGGGATATTCCTGGAACTTTTCTTAGCAGTGTACCAACATCAGTCATGTTTTGTTTGCAACTGCTGAAATCTCTGTCTGGTTTTGGTAGCTAAAGCTGATCTAGCACTGGAATTTTTTTTTCTGTCTTTTTCACTGCTGAGTCTATTGTGCATATATTGTAAATGTTTTCAGAGTGTGTGCATTTTCATTATAAATATACTAGTGTAATGCTGTCATGCTCTAAGATATGAAAGCTAAGGAGTTTTTACAATATTTCTTGATCTGGCATGATCCCCTTAGGAGTAAGTAGTAGCCTTAAAATATCTCCTTGTGGAGCTCTTTGCTTGTTGTCTTTGTAGCTTTTCTGTTGTCTAACCTCTTAATCTCCCTTGAGCCACTATGTGTCTAGTTGTGCTATTTGCAGTAGTGATGCTTTGAGATGTACTCTTGCAGATTCTTTATGTGGAACTGAAAAAATGTTAGCTCTTAGAATTACTTGTTTTGCTTACAGAAATAAAAAAAAAATCAGAACTTCTAATTCTTATAGAGGGATTTTCGTATAGAAGTATCCTAAAATGCTTAACCATGCCACTAATTGATGTGTGAGGTAACAAAAACGGACATGTGTGAGAAGTATGGAAGGTATTTAGCAACCTGAAATCAGAAACAAGGAAATATGTACTGTCAACCATGACTGTTTTTTTTTCTTAGTGAAAGAGCCTGAGTTCTCAGAGCCATAGGTGGTGTTTGTATGTGTGGATATTATATATATATTATTATATATATTTTATATGTATTATAAGGAAAAATGCTGAATTGGTAAACCAATTTGGCAAATATTTATTCATTGTTAGTTTAGAGTAGAACAGTTCAATACAATACCTGTGGTGAAGAGGTGCTGATGGAGTGTGAAAGGCTTTTACCTTTAAGTACCTAGTAAATATCAAGAAAACTACTAATCATCATTACCAATGATCAGTGCCTGAGCAGATGATTTTTTGTGAGGCAGGTGGAAGAGAAAATCATTACAAAGCAACAACCTGCCACAAGACTGTATCCCTGTCCTCATCCTCTCTTGCCATTGAGCAAAAGGTGTTACTCGTGTGGAAGGAGATGAGAGGAACTTTCTTTGACTTACCTTATCTGTTTTGCCTCCCTGGTAATACTGTTGTCTTCTAGCAGTCATTGAGGTGAGGTTTTTTTATGAAAACTACAATAAGGCAACATCTGGTCCTATCATTTGTTATTTCTCATAGTGAAATAAGATACGTACACCTAGAGACTGAACGTTTTTCTTCCAGAAGAAAATCCTGGTTATATACTTCATTGCCTAGATAAATAAATGATCCTTTACCCTTGCAGGTGCAAATGGTAGTTTGTAGTGTTTCAAAGCAGAGATACATGACGTAATTTATGATTCTAATTAGGCAGCTTTTCTAGATGGCATTGTAGTTTCCTCCATGGCAACGCCTTGCAGATGTGCTTGGCTGACTTTATTGCTGTGCAAGGTTCACAGCAGGGACTGCTTGGTGTGGAGTTCCACTGTGTGGAGTATGTGTCCTTTTCTTGGTTGCTATTACCCTTCAAAACTCCCTGCTGTAAGCCCTCTGTAGCTATCTACCACAGGTTTTCTTTGAATACATCTACAGCTGAGTTGTTTTAAAACTGACTTCTAATCTAACTCATTTTTTCTTACTATTTTACATAGTCTCATCCAGGTCTGTCCTTTAACCCACAGGAATGAGAGTAATTTTTGTTTAAACACTAAAATCTTTTAATTACTCAGGTATGGTAAAACTCAAACCCCATGCTTGACCTCTGTAGAATTTTGCATTACAAATGCTTATCCCAGATGCCGGGGTATCTATAGAAGTAAAAAGACTTTTCTTGAATGTGTTAGTGGAATTCTTAGCAGCTCACACATGCTGTGCATTTGCTATTATGTGGCTTCTAGACAGTCTTCAGAGGGTGAAACACTTCTTGAAAAAGCTAATCTTTATTTTAATAACGTAGGTTTGTGGCCAAGTGACACACGTATGTTTGTCTCTGGAAAGTAGGGCTTTCTCTTTTGATCTGAATTTTTCACGGAATCACAGAATCACTAAGGTTGGAAAGGACCTTCAAGATCATCAAGTCCAACCATTAATCCAGCACCACCATGTTCCCTAAACCATGTCCTGAAGTGCCACATCCACACGTTTTTTGAACACTTCCAGAGATGGCGACTCCACCACCTCCCTGGGCAGCCTGTTCCAATGCTTGACCACCCTCTTGGTGAAGAAATTGTTCCTAATATCCAATCTAAACCTCCCCTGGTGCAACTTGAGGCCATTTCCTCTTGTCCTATCACTGGTTACTTGGGAGAAGAGACCAACACACTCATCGCCACAACCCCCTTTCAGGTAGTTGTAGAGAGCGATAAGGTCTCCCCTCAGCCTCCTCTTCTCCAGACTGAACAACCCCAGTTCCCTCAGCCGCTCCCCATAAGACTTGTGCTCCAGACCCCTCACCAGCTTTGTTGCCCTTCTCTGGACACCCTTCTTTTTGTGACATGTAACAGACTTCTATGCTCTGAGTTACTTCAGTTAACTCTAAAATGCTCATTAAATTCTATACAGTACAAGGAATTTAAGGAAGGAGCACATTAGCTTTGAACTATGTTGAATTCTGGTGTTCTTTGTTCTTTGTCAATGATATCCTTTATGATTTCCTTTATCCTTTATCAGTTTTCTTATTAAATAATAGAAAAAAGTCAGTTTTATCAGAGGTCTTTGGATATATACATTGAACATGTACGGCTAAAATATTTTTTTCCAGAGACAAATTTCATACTTATTCCAACAATACATTATTTTCCCTTGTGGAAATAAAGTGGCATTCGGCAATGTTCACTGCTGCAGACTGAATCCGACAGCTTCAGGACAAAAATGCATGAGGCAGTGTATTACCTGTTAGAAAACTTGTGCTCTCAGAGAACTGATCAATAGGATGGGAATTAATTCCAAACTGTATTGTGTACGCACATCCTGTAGAGTGCAGAAAGCTTCAAGTATCCCACCAGAGATTGAGGTGAAGTGAAAAATACTTTGAGATGGATTTTTTTGATCTTTTTTTATAAAAGTTGTTAATTTCAGTTTCTTATTAGCCTATACTATTCACTAAGCAGAAACTTTAATTATTACAAGTTTACTAGATACTAGAATGGTATTTTTCACATTGTATGCTTCATTTGCAATGTTGCAGTACAGTGAAGTCTTTTGTTCTTGACCTCCAATCTCATTAAACATACCAGCAGTTTATTAGTAATACTTAATGAAATTACAGTACAGGTCTTTTGTGAAATTCTTTCTGCTGTCCTATTTTCATCCTGGTTGTTCCATTTAGTTTCTTCCAAGAAACTGTTTAACCTAATAGGTAAGTTGAACTACCTACATTTCAGGTAGTTGTTTTAACAAAAAGTAGAATTTTTAGATGAAGCAGAGTAAGTTTTACATTGTTCTGAATTTGGCAAATATTTCTCTTTGAAATTTTACCTTGACTTTCATTCTGACTCCAAAAAATGATTTTTTTGGAGAAAGAAGACTACTATTTGTGTGGTACTCGTTCCTGGTTAACATACCCTTTTTTTTCCCTCTGCTAGGTTGAAGACTGACAAAGCTTTGCGTTTGAGTATCATTGGTGAGCAGAAACTTTTATTACTTAATATAGTACTCAACTTTTTAGCACAGATTTTAAGTTTTATCAACTTTATAGAAACTCCAATTACAGTTTCTTTCTCTATAATCTGACTCTAATATTAAAATAGACTGTGTTGAAGTGCTAAAATACTTCATATGTTCACTCAAGTAGTATATACAAGGGTTGAACTTGGGGCTGAGTATAGCCTAATCTTTATTCAGGACAGTATAGACCAAATGTCTATTTTGTACAGCTGTACATGTATTTATTGTACTTGTCTCCATGCTTTTTTTTAATTGCTTGTAAAAGAGGATGATATTTGCAGGTCAACAGACACATTGTGCTAGCAAGTAAATTCAAAACTTTGAGACACAACCTGGAATATTTTTCTTTTTCATATGATTGACACTGCACATTTTCAAATTAATCATCAGAACTCTTGCTCAGCCATTGTGTTGGGTTTTTTCCTCTTGGGGCCTTTAAGTTTCCATCTTAAGCAACTGATCCAGTGATATTTTAAACGCTAATTTCCAGTAAAGCGAAGTGCAGCATCTTTTTTCCGTAAGGAAGACATAAAATACATCTGAAATGATGTGAGAATGTTTCTATTACAGCTACCTTCATACCTGGTACATGCAATATCAGTGAGTCTACGATGCCATTCAGAATATTGAAAAATGGGAGATTATTTCAAAAACTTTGATGATCTTTGATCTGTGTTGATGCTACAGTGATGATGTACTCTCATTAATGATAAGTTTTTATTCTTGTAGGAGAAAAGTTACAATGGTTTCAAAGTCACCTTGACCCCAATAAAATTGAGTACACAAAGAAGGAAGCTGGTGAACTAATTGAAAAGTAAGACTGGTGTTAAAAACAGGATTAAAAAGCTTTATTTATCTTGTAAAATAGTGTTGTTAAATAACATCTGTAAAGTGATGATGACTCAGAGAAGCACTTTTATATATTACTATTAGTAATATCAAATAGTTGATTTTGTTGCAACTGAAGTTAATTATATATTGAAAGATGTATATATTCACATGAGTTACTGAATCAGTTGTGTTGTTTGGTTGTTTTTTTATAGCTTTAAGTATATCTCTGCTTTTGTCGTGTGTGGAGGACTCTAAATGATTTGGACAGTAGTAATTGCATGAATTTGCTAGTCAGGTTATTCAGTAACACTTAAATGCACAGATTTCATTCTGCTTACGCGTTTATTTAATTTTCTTTGCTCAGATTAAGCAGTACTCGGGTCAATTTTTAAAGGCAAGAAATAACAAAATTGAATCTGCTAAGAAGGAGCTCAGTTATTTCTGTGCTGATGTATGTACCTGTGGCTTGTCACCATTTTTCACCTGCTAGCTAAATAACATAATATATATGTGTTCTTAGACACATGTACGATATCAGTTTCCTTTCAGAAGCTGTGACATGTTTCCTACACTGTTCATGAAACCTGTAAACTGCTAATCAACACTAGTGATAACTGCAAAGGCAATAAAAGCTTACCTTTTGGATTTGAGTTAGGTGTTTGTACGATGATGTAGAACACATGCCAAAGAAGAACTTTACTTTAAAAATTATTGAGGTGGTGAAATTCAGCAATTAAGTTAGGAGTAGTTAGATTTAACACTGGTCTTCCAGAGCAAGTGAATTATAATAATGTGTTTGGTTTTGTGTTGTCTGTTTGTTTTATGCAAACATAGTTTAAAAAAAGCAAATTAAAAAAACCGTCCTTCTGTAAGCACCAGATGATTCAAATGAAGTTCTCATCGAGCTTCCACTTTGAAGATTAAAGTAATAGCTCAAATTTATGAAACATCTCTGACTAATTTAGAAAATAAATAACAGTTAGTAAAATAACTTTTTAGATTATCAAAGTAATTCTGTTTTGCAAAAGTTTTGCATGATTGCATCTAGCATAGAGGCATTTTATCTCTTTCAGTTATATGTGTCGATTCAATGCTGAATTGGAGCAGATTGAATTACAAAACAGTATTAAAGGTAGACAAGGAAGACAGCATGGTTCACGGGAAACTGTCATCAAGCAGACCATAGAACGTGAAAGACAGCTCTATGAAGGCTATGGAATAGGTATGTAAAAACATTAGAAATAATCCTGTGGTCACATCTTCACCTGCTCACAAGGCTAGAACCCATAAGTGAAATTTCTAGGCATTATCTTTATTTTTCTCTTTAGAGGGATTAACTAACTGCTAGGTATTTATGCCTTGCAGAAGAGTTTGGGAGGAGGGGCAGGGTGCAGAAAAGGAAAAAAAAAGGTGTAGATCTGGCTTACGTATTTCTGCTTTACTACTTCTCCATTGTGTATCTTTTAGTACTGCCTCTTTAGTGCAGGCATATATAACATAGTTTTGAAACTAAAGTGAGATTTAATGCACCTTTCTCAAATACAAATTCTGTTCAGCAGCTTGCTTGGACCTTCATTATATACAAGTATTTTTTTATCTTAAAAAAGCACTTCAGTGGGTGTGCATGTTTAACATACATTAGCACAAAGACTTTATTTGCTCATGTGGGGAATAACCGATGTCACTTTCTCTACAAATTAATTTTTTAGGTGGGCTTCATTATCTGGATTTGTGCCAATGAAGTCTCTGTACACAACTTCCTCTAACATTCTTTTGATTAACATATAAACTTACTGTTAGGGCTAAACCTGTGGCCTGACTGACTGGGCTGCATTAAGAAGAGTAGGACCAGCAGGTCGAGAAAGGTTTTCCTCCCCCTCTACTCTGTGCTGATGAGGTCTCATCTGGAGTATTGTGTCCAGTTCTGGGCTCCCCAGTTCAAGAGGGACCGGGAACTTTTGCAGAGAGTCCAATGGAGCGCCACAAGGATGATGAAGGGACTGGAACATCTCTCATATGAGGAGAGGCTGAGCGACCTGAGGCTGTTTAGTCTGGAGAAGAGAAGGCTGTGAGGGGACCTTATCAATGTCTATAAATATCTGAAGGGTGGCTGTCAGGAGGATGGAGCCTTTTCAGTAGTGCCCAGTGATAGAATGAGGGACCATAGGCATAAACTGCAGCACAGGAAGTTCCACCTCAACATGAGGAAAAACTTCTTTACTGTGAGGGTGACAGAGCACTGGAACAGGCTGCCCAGAGAGCTTGTGGAGTCTCCTTCTCTGGAGACCTTCAAAACCCGACTGCATGCATTCCTGTGCAACCTGTCCTAGATGATGCTTTAGCAGGGGGGTTGGACCAGATCGTCTTCAGAGGTCCTTTCCAACCTTTACTATTCTGTGATTGTGTGATTCTGTGACTTGCCCCTTTCCACTGAGGTGGACCAGTGGCATAAGGAACTTAAAGCTTCATATCATGAGAAAGTGGGCTTTAGGTTTCATGAAGAGAACCAAAGCCTCTGAACCCATGGGCCTAAAACATCTTCAGAAAGAGACTTGTCATTCCACTAAGGCTAAGATCTATTTTGTGTGGGACAATGATTGCGGCAGAAATTGTAGTACAGATGCATTTCCAAAATTTTAAATTTCTGGAGTGTTCCTATTAAAATTTAGGTAATCCAAGAAGAAATCCTGGGCTACTGTGACACATCTGCTCTACAGGCTCTATTCTACAGGCATAAATGATAACCCACCAGTAGAAAAACACATTTTTTTTCTCTTGTTCTTCTCAGGCAGAGGAGTTACGCTCCTTTCTTTGACTTTCTTTGAGATGCTGCTGGAGGGATTGAAAGTCCTCTGTGTGTGTGAAGGCCCTAATACTTAACCTCTTAATAATCAAAACCCCGCAAAAACTCTGAAAATTTAAAACTAAAATTTCTGTAGATAAGAGCCTAGTTGAAAGCACTTTGAGTTTTTAAACATTTGCCTTGGCCATTAGCACATGTTTGAATAAAATCATAAAGCTGGATATTCTCGTTGACTTTTTTTATTACCATTTATCTTCCTTTGGGGTAGCCATCTATGCAAGCAGTTTATCTAATGAAATCTTCTGTGGAGCATCATGTGTGAAAACTGCAACATAAGCATTGGAGCTGAAAATTTCCTCTTAAGAGGCATAGTCTTCCTTAAGAAGAAACACTTAAACTCCTTTTGACAGTATTTTTTGGTTTTGGAGGTAGCACACAGAGGCAGCCTACATGTGAGAAAGAAATAAAAGGATGAAAATTTGATAGCTGGAACTAGCCTGAAGGGAAGCAGCAGTAATCTGGTGAATTAAGGGAGAAAGACAAAAGGATAATAGAAGTGCAAAAAGCAAAAAGTTGTTTTGAGGAGAGTTAAGTACAAAATACTAGTGAAATTTATGTATTTTTTCTTTAAGAAATAAGCGTGTTGGAGTTGGTGATGAACTTGTCTTTAATGATAAAGTATTATTCAAATGCAGTTAGTCCTTCCAACAGTAAAAGTATGTCATAGAAGACGTGAAAAATCTACATTGTTCTGTGGTTAGGATACAAAGCACAGCAAGGTTTGGGTTGTGTGTCATACTTCCTTTTCCATGAATTTGTATTTTACCAATAAAGAAAATGAATGGCTCTGAAAATTTTGCCAGTGTCACTTAGTACTTTCACATCCTGCAATGGCAGAGGAATTCAGGAATAGCTGTGTGACTTTGTGTGTAATCTTTGACTTTTTTTTTTTTTTTTTTTTAAAGGGGAGGAAGAAGTCATAGGAAGATGAATGTCATTGACATAGCTCAGTTGTAGAAAATCTCCTTTTTGGTTTTGCTTTTAAATTTTAGTTCTTTTTTTCCTTACTGATTTTCTTTTTTTCTGTCAGCTTTCCACAATAGGACTAGATAGAAAGATGTCAAATGCACAAGCACAACATAAAAATAAAGAAGAATGCAGAAATACTGTAAGCAAAATTTGAGGTTATTATAGTATTAGTAAGTAAAGCATTCAGAGAGCATGGTGCAACTTCACATACCAAATACACTCTCAAATCATTCATTATTTGTTATCACAGCTGCTGCAGGTTTTTCTCTGTCTAGGACAGTATTCATTCAGAGAAAATTGTTGCTGCTAAATACTGTAATTAGAGATTGGGGATAAATGGAAATCAGCTGGAAACTGCTTTTATGCTCTAGCTCATTATTACCCCTGGGAGCTGCAGTGAAGGGAACTTTTATAATTGACTTAGAGTTTTTTGTTTTTTTCCCCCTATTCTTGAACTTAGTTATTTCTTGTATGCATGTGCGTTTGCTGTGAAGAGACTACATGATACAAATTGTTTACATTTAGGAAAGTCTCTTAAAATTTAATGCCCTGTGTGTGTATATATATATCAGATATATGCAAATGAAAAATTAGTTCTTCTTTACTGGCTGTTTACAAAAGCAGTAGACATCCAAAAGCATAGTACATTTTAGTTTTTTTTTTTTTATTTGTACCTATACAGGGAACATTCAGTCAATCTGTGAGGCTGTTGAGTTTTGTTAGCAGCATCTTATCACTTCCTTACTCCTTAAGTACATCTACATTCATTTTACTGCAGTTTTCTTCCTGATGTTGTCATTTGTGTGAGGGTTTTTTTAATCTTGTCTTACAAGTTTATAGCAAACCTATTGAAAGGATATTTACAGGATATGCCTTTGGAACTCAGAGTTAGTGTGCTTTCAGTTGAAAAGCATCATAATTATTTCATCTGAACATCATACATTTTTGATAATTTGCTTCTAATAACTTTGCATGTTCTCTTAGAAGTATGATGTTAATCTTGGGGGGAAAAATGGCCTTCAAAGCTAAATGCACCAGTTCTATTAGTTAATTCTTGAAGCTTCAGGATATAAGGAAATATATTTAATTCAGATGAAAGTTGTATCATTTACATGTATCTGCTAGTGTAACTACTGTACTGTTAGCTGCTGTTTTCTGTAGTGATTATTATTGTGTAACTGAATGGTTCTTTATCTAAAGAGCATCTAGAGTTTCTAACATCCTTTTCCTTTTTTAACTTCAAGCTGCAGTATCATCCTTTGACCTGACTTGGGCGTTTCTTTGTATGACAGTTCTAGTGGATGTGAGATATATGCAGCCTGCGTTCTGTGCAGAGCGCTGTCAGAGCAGTGACATTCGAGTCCTTGTGAGATTTAGGTAAATCTCTAGTGCACATCTTTGCTTTGGGAGAGAGGAATGGTTACCACTTCTGGAAGGAAATAAAACATCTCAGCAGACCGTCACAGAGCACTTGGTTAACAAAAAAGTGCCATGGGACACAGCTCTAGAAGGGCACTCTGACACTGGGATTGTCTCCTCTATCCCCTTTTTCTCTAGTTATGCTTTGAAGCCTTCCAGCCCAAGCCTGTGCACAGAGGCAGGGTCACTTAGACCTACGGCTGGCAGGAGCTTTTTACTTCTGATGCCCATCAGAAATTTGAAGTAATCTGGTCTAGTGTTTCTCCATCTGAACAGTTGGAAAGATGCTGACTTTACTGTATTTTATGCAAGTTCTGTGTTACAAATTAAGCTCAATCACTTTGTCTTTTTCCTTGTCATAAATCGGTGTTAAGCACTAACATCTTTATAACAAAGCTTGAGAGATAATGTGCTGTTTGCTCTTCCTCAGAAGAAAGATAGGAAAATAAAACATTATCTGAAACTATCAGAAACATGAAAAAAATGCTTACTTAAGTTTTTCACTGCTGTTTTATTATAAAACGTAGGTTCGTGAATACTTCATCTTAGAAATGCTAGACCATATGTGCTCCCCAAAATACTGTCTTTTTTTTCCCCACTAACCCTTGTGCCATATTTCTTCATCTTCCATTTTTTCCATCTTTAGTTCAGAAAACACTCTCCTGTGACTTAACATTTTTAAAGCAAGCTGTGAAGTTCACAAGTAGCACCAAAAAAACATGACGCTGGTGCATGCTATGGAGATACTTCTGACTCAGACAGACAAGTGTTATTAATCTGAAAATACAGCAGCCACTGCAGCTTTCCACCATAATTTCAAAAATCAGTTACTGTGCAGTATATAATTACTTATTTCTACACACAAACCAGAACTGGACTAGAGTTTCTAGTTCTGTTCTTAATCTGGCAATGCTGGGATTTGTATTGTGTAACGTATTGCAAACACATGTGTAAGCAGAACTTAAAAATTTTGCCACTGCCAAAGCACTAAAGATCAATTCGGTTCCAAATCTTGGTTTGTCACAGAATCTCCCCAGTTCAGAATCCCTGCTTTCTTGTGACTCTGGAGGGAGACCTGGATGACAGGTTACATAAAACTATTAGAATATTCTGTTTGTAAAATGTCCTATGTAAGTTACTAACAGCCATTAAATGCTTTCCAATGTGTTTTTTTGAGCCAAAACAAAGCAGTTGAAAGGGCTTCATTTGAAAGTCTTGTCATTTAGTCCTGGTTTGTCTGAGAATAACACTGAACCAAATGTTGGGTCAGTGCTTTCATAGAAGGAACAAACAGAAATCTCAGCACATTTCTGGGGCAGTTGGCCCAAATTAGTATAGTGCTACTTCTGCCACACTCACTCTTTACATCACTAAGCTCTGTCCTAGGAGAGTACTGAGTGGGCGTTGCTCCTTGCTCAATGTCTGAGAGAAGGGAAGACCTCCTTTCTCATGTGGAGTAGGACATTGCAGCATTTGGCACTCTGCTGCCAAGAGTGCAATTCAAGTGATTACAAAGAAAGCAAGAGGGACCATGGCTTTGTTTCAGTGCTTAGTTGGGAAGGGTGGACCTAATGTGGCATTGGTGTTTATCAGAACCCAGGAATTGGCAGACAAAAAAAGATTTAGGTATGTTTCTTTGCCTTGCCTGGATTGGTTCTGAGCAGTATCACTGTATCTATTTACCAAGAAGCGGGCTGCAGAAATCAGTGTCATTGGTATCAAAAACTGTTTGTATATATTATTGTTCTTCAGTTGGTAACTTTGTAACCTAAGTGAAGGGAAGAAATAAGTTCTGAATAATAAAGACTATCTGGCCACAAAGATAGTGACAGGTACCATCATTCTACATTCTGTAGTAGCAAAATCATCTATAATCCTGCATTGATAGCATCATCTGATTTATTACTGTAAGACTTGGGAAAATTGATAGATGAACAAAGACAGAATTGTATGTTCAGGGTTTGCTCAAGGACAGTATAAGAAGTTCTTGAAATGTCATGTTTTTAAGAGCTAAAATAGTAAAGTGTATTTAATATTACAGTGGTAACAAGCAGTTGTCTTTGTTGAGCAACCTGCTTGCTGTGAAATCTGTACACTTCATAGACAGCAATAAGGTATTTTATACCATGCAAAAATTTCAAGGCTCATAAGGGATAAATGTCTACAAATTAGTGAAGATGTTAAACAGAGGTCACTTGTAATACTTCAGGACTGACCAAGAAAAGAATGACACTGAATCAAGGCAAAGCAGCTTAGGTATCCTAGATAAACTTCTGCATGAGTTCATAAACCACACATCTAGTAGGAATGTTTGGCTACTCTGGGCGGAGGGGAGGCGGGAAGGGGTCTGTCCCATAGGTGTCTGTACAAGATGTTTGCCTCCTTTCTACTACCAAAGGTAATAAAGATTTGTAGTTGAGTATATGTCACTTATTTCTGTTAGGGGGGAAGACTGAAAACTTTCAATGATTAAAACTATTAATGTTTGCTGCTGCTCAACTGAGAGGACATTAACTCATGAGAAAAGGCGGGTGCCAACAGTCTGTATAAATATTATGTTGCATTTCCTGCAGCATGTAACAGGCATTTCAGCAACCATGGAGTGCTAGCTTCCCAGTATTTAGTGGTTTATAGAACAGGTATTTAACAATGGAAACTAAAATTGCATTGCAGTGAGACTAGTTGTTACCAAATAGCCATTCTTTGCTCTCATTGCAGGTGGAAGGAAGTAGTATTTATTCCAAAATCCAATGTGTTCTATTTAAACACCTGATATCTTACTGTTATCTTACTGATATCTTCCCAGTGTTTATGTTTTAAAAACACACACGCACACATATATTGGTGTACTGCATGGTAAATGTTATGAAGTGTATTTAATTGTTTGTTACATTTTCTTACTGGAATTATCAGTTACTTTCCTAACTCTACTGCTGCTCTGCCTTGCTTGCAGTGGTGACTTAAGTGCTTTGAAATTTTTTTCCATAAACATTTCAAAATACTTACAGACCACATAGCACTCATTAATTTGGAGTGAAGTTTGCATATTTAGGTCAACTTTGAAACTAAGCTTTCTTATTTTACCTTTTTATCTGCCATGCGTATACATAGTAAGTTCTGCAGACCAGAATTGTCTTTTTGTTGCCTGGGTGAGTGAATGTCTGTTAAAAACTAGCATAACCAGACCTTGATCTTGGTTCAGGATGTTAGTTATGCTTTTAAAACAAATAATAAATTATTTTCCTAGTTTCTTCACTGGACTTTTTTTAAAGGGAAACTTTCAAGTGCTTAAAATTTTTAAATTTCTCGGTTGTGTCAGTTTAGAGAAAATGAAGCACCTTTTATTTATTATTTGTCAGGGTTGGATTTTCAGTAACTGGTACATTTGAATTCTGTAACAGTTAATAGGTGTAAGTTCAATTCCTTTTCTTTAGCAGTGAGAAGTCTTCCTGTTTATATATTGCTCTAGAAACTTTCAAATATGAGTCCTCATTCTCATTTTCTTGGTCTTTTAATCTCTGAAATAATATGCTCAGGCCTTTAGTTCACATTTATTTCTTTGAAATGAGACTCACTTGAATAATGTAATGCATCTAATAGAATTTAATTTCATTCCAATTAGAAATCCCTGACATTATGAACAGAAAGCATCTTAAATTTTTCAGGTAAGTTCCTTTTACTATCACTACTGATCTGTTTATGCAAAACAGTGTTTCTGAATTTGACATGTTGTATGTCTTTTTCCTTAAAAAAGAATTTATGCAAAACTGTTGAAGAATTTGTCATTTGAAAAAGCAGGTGAGGTATGGTGTTGCTATTTTGGCATTTCTTAGCTGTTACAAGCTAAATGCAGGTGACAGTTAATCATTAAAACGTTGGAAGGTTTAGAAAGCTTCAACAGTTAGAATTCCATTTCTGTAACTTAAATATCTTTTTTCAGTATT